GCTGACAAGACATCAATGTGATGGCACGCTGCACATTTCAAACCATTGGGGTTTGTGACAGCACGACGATGGGGTGTTTCCCACATTTGTGTTTTGTCGAGAACCCCATGTCAAGGGCCGCATGAAAGGACACCAGGGGGCTGCCATTAGCAATGCAGCAATGACAATGAAGAAGAATGCCCTGATGCGTAATCAGTTATTCCTGCAGCGACTGACAGAATGCCGATTTTTAACGCCCATCCCAGGCTACGAACGAGAGAACGTGGCGCTCCGTACTAAAGTCAAGGCGCAGCGTCGCCTGCTCCGGGCGGAGGAGGCCAGGAAGGCCGACCTGGGGTGCCTCTTTTCCCAGCTGCGCGAAAACAAAGCTCAGCTGACAGCCCTCGTGTCTGGCATCGGCAATTTCAACGTTGGAGCCGACGATGCTGATGGCATTGCCACTGAGAGCATCTCTGCAGCCGCTGTTGGAGCCACCGCCACCACCGATGGCAACACCGCCATCCCAGCCGGCGCCGCCATCGCCGATTGCTCCACCACCAAAGCTGGACACATGACGGTCGCCACATCCGCCACATCGCACCTTTCCTCGACCGCTGCCGCCGTCGATGAAACCACCACAGCTGCCGCCACCAATCCTAAACTTGTCCTAAGGCGGCCTTGGTTGGCTCCTGCTGGGGAAATAGTCACCGGCATTGACACTCCAACCGCTGACGTGCTGAGATTTGGGATAAAACGGCCTCGGTCGGCTGCCGCTACCGGTAAATCATCCACCGGCATCGCCACGCCGGCTGCCCCTGGCAGGTCGGCCTCTGCTGATGCCACCGCCGCCGCCGCCGCCACAACCGCCGCCACAACCGCCGCCATCACCACCACCACCACCACCACCTCTGCCCGTGGCAAAGCCACCAGGGCTGATAGATTTCGAAAAATATACCGGAACTTTCACTGGTGGGCCACTGCCCGCAAGTCCACCATGGCAACTCCAGACGATGCCGGCGGATCGACCGCCACCATCGCCGTTGCCACCACCCCTGCGACCGCCACTGCTGGCCTCAAATCCACCCCTGCTGCTTGCAAAGGAGGCCAAGGAGACCAACGGAACTTGTGCATCGCCATCGACATCCCAAACTCTGCCTGATGAGGCCCCATTGCTCCCGAGGCCACACAAATTCTTACATAGGCCCCACCTCTTCCTCTCCATTCTCCCGCCCACTTATACATTGTGCCCCGCACCTTGCTGATATGGACAGGCCTGAACTAAAACGCGGCTCACATACACACACACAAGGAGACAGCTGGACTGATGCTAACATTCTGCGTTTTGTTCCGTTTGACAAATAAATATTGGACGCAGATTGATGCCTCCCGTGCGGTACTGTTGCACTTTTGACATCTTGCTTTCAAGACATTGTGTTTTTGTTACACCGATGCAAAGGGCCAAACTTTGATTTTGGGAAGGCACAGCTGGGTGGGAGGGCATCACGGTGGCCATGAATACCCAGAGGTTGTGGGATGCAGTGACTGGCCATGTAGATTCCACATGGCGTTAAACAGCCGATAAAAAGTGTGTGGACTAATCTCCATCTGTTCCATCTCACTCCCATCTACCCGTGGGTGGGTGTTGAGGAGGAGCTGTAAGCCCTGCCTCTGGCCAGGAGAAGGTGGTGTTACAGTAGAGTTTGTGGACTAATCTCCATCTGTTCCATCTCACTCCCTTCTGCCTGTGGATGGGCTTTGATGAGGAAGCAAGATCGTGGCTCTGCCAGGAGATGGCAGTGCATCAAAGTGTGGACAAATCTTCATCTGTCCTACATTCCCTTCCTGTGGGTGGGCGTCGAGAAGGAGGAGGGAGGAGAAGGAGGAGGGCTGAGTGAGCGTGTGGGTGTGCGGGTAGATAAGTGTGTGAGTGTGTGGATGGCTGGTTGAGTGAGTGGGTCGGTGTGTGAGTGAGCGAGTGGGTGAGTGAGTGGATGAAGAGGTGAGTGGATGTGTGAGTGAGTGAGCGAGTGAGTGGGTGAGTGTGTGAGTGGGTGAGTGACTGTGGGTGAGTGAATGAATAGGTGAGTGGGTAGGTGTGTGAGTGAGTGGGTTGATGAGTCAGTGAGCATGTGGGTGGGTGGGTAGATAAGTGTGTGAGTGTGTGGACGGTTGGGTGAGTGAGTGGCTGTTTGAGTGAGCGAACAGATCAATGAGTGAGTGAGCGAGTGGCTGAGTGAGTGGGTGAGTGGGTGCATTCCGATTGGCCTTTCCCCTTATGGCGTTTGTGACCACGACAGCGGTCAAAAGGGGGCTCTGGTTGGGTGGGGTTGGTAACCCTTCCACCTTCAATTAATTACCACTATACCACGATGGAAAAATGTAATGAATAAGCCTGTCCCAGAGGCCCCAGGGGGACAGACGTCTAAGACATCTCCTGGCCAGAAACAACAAAAAACCACTACGTGTGGCCACGTGGTTTGTTCGAACGCTCACTGCGGAGGAGAGGCTGCCACTCCTCTGTCGGGAGCTGGACCAGCACCGCCTGGATCTCTGTGGTATTCAGGAGGTCCGGTGGACCGGCGCTGGCTCCTGCCACCATGAGGGGTGCACAGTCCTCTTCTCGGTGCAGCAGACTGCCAAACAACAAGGAGTGGCTGTTCTTAACAAAATAATGAGGGGGGGCGTGGTAGCGTGGTGGTGAGGTGTGGGAATCTGTAAGCACCAGGCTACTTTGGGCTTCCCTTCCCATTAACCAGAGGCGAGGAGAGGTGGTCGTGGTTTCTTATGCCCCCACTGAAGACGAACATTCGTGGAGGGATGCAGGCAAGGCCAATGAATCAGATGCCTTCTATGACCTCCTGTCACAGGTGCTAGCTAAAGTGGCCCCTCAGGATAGAGAAATCTTGTTGGGTGACTTCAATTCCTGAGTTATTAATGATGCTGGCACTTGGTCTGGAGTGATTGGCAGGCATGGGCCAGATCAGCTCAATAACAACGGCAAGAGGCTGCTAGATTTTTGTGCAGCCCATGGGCTTGTAATTACCAATACGCTGTTCCGACATCGACGCATCCACAACATCATGGATGTATGCCGGGTCCAAGCAAAAACATCTGCTGGACTACATAGTGATGGATCAAACGGATGTGGGCCCATATCCTTGACACCAGGACCTACCGTAGAGCTGATCTCCCCACTGATCATCGACTTGTCATCTGTAAGATGCTCCTGCCATTCTTCCACTCCAGTGGTGGGTACACCCAGGACCCCATTCACACCCATAGTGGCATGGTCTCGGCTAGCTGATGAAAGTTACAAGCGATAATTTAATTATCGCATGCGGCTGGGGTTAGCATCGTCCCCCATTCCTCCTGATGTCGAAGGGAAATAGGCGAGGTTTGTGACTGTGGCTCATCCAGCTGCAATGGCTGCTTTGAGTACACGGTTCAGACCTCCCCAGAGACCCTGGCTGACAGAGGAGGTGTTCAAGCTGGCTGACAAAAAGCGACAGGCCCACTCTCATCGACTACAGCATCCGATGTCAGAGAATGAGGAGGCTTACCGCAGCCTTAAGTCGGAGAGCCGTGCGGCGCTGCAAGGATGGGTGGTTGTCGCGAGTTGCTGAGGAGATGGAGTCCGCCTCAACGGCCCGCGATCACAAATCGCTCTTTAATTCCATCAAAAATAACCTGCAGTGCCTTACCTATTACCATAATTAGGGGAAAGAACGGCGATCCAATCTCTGACCCCCAGGAACAGGTTTTCAGATTTGCTGAGCATTTCTGTGAGGTCCTGGGGGAGGGGAAATCCCTCAGCCTGGAAAACATCTTGGCACAACGTGGGTGATGACCCTGCTGACGCTGCAGTGCCACAAATGTTGGAAGAAGAAGTCACCCCCCGTGAGTGGCTGGCTGAGGTGCCATCTGTTGAGGAAGTACTGAAGGTGATCCAGAGTCTGAACCCAGCGAAGGCACTGGGCAGAGATGATCTCCCAAGAGAAATGCTGAGGGATGGTGACGTTTGTGCACAGATTGCCCTACATGACATCAAATAACATTCTGGACCACTAGATGAGTTCCGCAACATTAAAAGTATGCCTTGGTGTTCCCCCTATTTAAGAAGCGGGACCGCACAGACTGTAAAAACAACAGGGGCATCTCACTCCTCAGTGTGCCGGGAAAGGTCCTGGTAAGGATTATTCAACATCGCATTGCCAGGCATGCTTAGCAGAGCCTTACGGAGCCCCAATGCGGTTTCAGGAAACGGTGGTCCTGCACAGATGCCATGTTTTATGTCTGTCTGCTAAAGCAGATGTGTAGAGAATTCTAACAAGACCTACATTTCTGCTTTATTGACCTGGTCAAGGCCTATGATACCATCAGTAGGCCTGGGCTCTGAGTCGTTCTTCGTGCTTTGGAAGTCGCTGACTCTCTGCTCACAATCATGAAGGACCTTCATGATGGTTAGGGGGCCCAGATAAAACTGCGTGGCCAGGAGACGGTGCCATTCCGTTTACCTTGGGGTTTGACAGGGATGTCTTCTGGCTCCCACATTATTTAACATCGATTTCGAACACGTAGTTTGTGAAGCTTTCGATGGCTGTAACAGCGGAATTCCCATCTGATACAAATACAACAGGAGAATGATCGATGCCCGGGTGCGGTGAAAGGATGGCTCCCCTATCGGTAAACCATTTGATGTATGTCGATGATCTGGTAATTGCTTCTCACTCAGAGGAGGAGTTGGAGACCCTGCTGTTGAACCTGGAGCGTGCCACAAAGAGGTGGGGCCTTACCATCAGCCCCACTAAAACTAAGCACCTGCCTGGGTATTTTGTACCATCGGACACTCCACCCCCACAACTCCCAATCGGTGATAGGGCAGTTGTGGAGAGAGTGGAGAGTTTGCCATTCCTGGGCAGTGTGCTCATGGCGGGTTCCAGTTTTACAGCAGAGGCATTATCTTTTCATCTGTTGCGTAATGCTCCGTGAAAGCTACCTGGTCTGTTGCTCCACATGAAGCTTCAGTTCTTCTCGGCCACAGTGTTAACAACACACCAGCAATGGTAACAACACACCACCAGTGGTAACAAGACACCACCAGTGTTAACGATACACTACGAGCGTTAATAACAC